AATGCTAATGCGTATATGCAGAACAATTCTAGACTGCTACCTTGACATACTCCTTTAACTTTTTAAGGGCTAGTTGGGGGTAGGCTCGGTAACTTTTCAAGGGCTTCCTAGTGGTACTCTTTATAACTCTTCAAAAGCTATGTGGGAGTACCCTTGGTAACTTTTCAAGGGCTATCTTAGGGTACCCTTGGTAACTTTCCAAGGGCTATCTGTGGGTACCCTTGGTAACTTTTCAAGGGCTTCCTATAGGTACTCTTTGTAACTTTTCAAGGGCTACGTATGGGTACCCTTGGTAACTTTCCAAGGGCTACGTATGGGTATCCTTGGTAACTTTCCAAGGGCTACGTATGGGTACCCTTGGTAACTTTCCAAGGGCTATCTAGGTGTACCCTTGGCAACTTTCCAAGGGCTATCTGAGGGTACCCTTGGTAACTTTTCAAGAGCTATCTGGTGTTACCCTCAATAACTTTTTAAGGACCATCAGGAGTACCTTTTTTGCAATTTTTCAGCTGCTACACTAACCTTATAACAGTATTCATTTTTTGAGAACCACTCAAGTATCATACACAATATTTCATAAAGAATTGTCGTATTTGAAATCACATGTACGCTGATCGGGTTCATGAAGAGACGATTGAATGGCATACAAATGAATATATTGTATCATTAGGACAACAACACGTAAAATTTACTGAAAACCTGTATTACTGGGAAACAGCTTCAAATAATCTTTAAAAGTATTTTAAATACATGTCGCACGTCTAGGAGTGACACTTTATATTTGTTTGAGCAAGTAAAACCAATTAGCTAACTTTACTTTACCGGTAAAGCAGAGCAAAGTATATATACTGTTCCCAAAAAGTAAAGTAAAGTAAAGTAAAGTAAAATGAATTACAACACTTATAATTAATTGCTAATTTTTTAGCACAATATCGTACACTGACAATGGTGCTACGCCATTATCAAAGTATGATGTTAGACTACAAAGTCAATACTAAATTATAAGTATTTAGATTCGCTTTACTTTACTTGTCGGATAAAGTATATATACTTTACTCTGACGGATAAAGTATATACACTTTACTCTGACGGATAAAGTAAAGTTACGTACTTTGCTTTACTTTTTCAAAGTAAAATAAAGATAAAGTGTCAGCCTTACACATGCCATCTAATAATCACAAAAGACAATATCGAATAGTTATATACAATTGGATTTCATCGCCTCTAACAAGGCTCCATTGATAGATACCATCAGATCATGAGGAAGGAGTCTGATGGTATCCAACACTGGGAAATTGCTGGCAGGTAAACAATATTAATAATATCCGAGAATCGAATCCTATTACATGCCTACTGCGCAACATTCTTCGATACTTTAGGGATCTCATCAGATTCGATTCCGTGACTTCGACCTGAAACAATTTAATTGTCCTTCTATGACATTTTCGGCACACCTTACACCTATAGCCGAGAAAAAACTAGGAAAAAATGGAAGTCTTCCCTTTGACACGTTACAAATAAGTCTGCAGATGTTTTTGAAACCTAAATAAAACCTTATCTAGTCCTTTTTACACATGTTTTAGACATTCCATTAATACTATTAAAATTCCAATGACTAGATACAGCTAGTCTTCTCATCAACGTTAGTTGATGTACACAGCTGAGGTCTATCAAACTTTTATCATCTAAAAAACAATGAAGTGCTCCACAAGACATTTCCGGAGTTCTTCATAGTTCATATGAGCGATCATTTATTCAAAGAATCTGAATCAACAACACGATCGCTTGTATCACGTTAAATTACTACCATCAAACACACATATGACGTCTTCTTAACTCAGAACTGATAGCAAATACCATGCCTAGGTGCCGTTAAAAAATTACAAAGAGCATCCATTGGAAGCTCTTGAAAAGCTACAGAGAGTATTTCCGAATAGTCTTTGAAAAGTTACCAAGAGTACCAGTGCCGTACGCAGAAATTTTCCAAGGGAGAGGTCCAAATTCTCAAGGAAGGAACCCGCAGTGGAGTTTTTCAAAAATTTGTACCGTAGTACTTTTTTTACCCATACCCCCACAGAGAACTTGTCTTCAAAGGGGGACCCGGGGCCCCTTGGCCCCCTGCGTACGCCACTGAAGGGCACCCCATCGTAGCCCTTGAAGAGTTACCTAAAGTATGCCATGGTAGCCTTTGAAAAGTTACCTAAAGTACGCCATGGTAGCCCTTGAAAAGTTACAAAGCATATCCCATCGTAGTCTTTGAAAAGCTATCAAGGGTACCCCTAGGCAGCCCTTGAAAAGTTACAAAGAGTGCTCCCTGGTAGCCCTTGGAAAGTTACAAAGAGTACCTCCAGGTGGTCCTTGAAGAGTTATCAAGGGTATCCTACGTAGCCCTTGAAGAATTATCAAGGGTACCCTAGGTAGACCTTGAAACCTTACCTACAGTACCCCATGGTAGCCCTTGAAAAGTTATCAAGAGTATCTCTTTGTAGCCCTTGAAAAGTTACCAAGAGTACCCTCTGATAGCCCTTGAAAAGTTACAAAGAGTGCCCCATGGTAGCCCTTAAAAAGTTATGGTAGTATGCAAGGTAGCAGTCTCGAATTGTTCTGCATATACGCATTAGCATTAAAAATAATGCTAAATTAATGCTAACGCCTAAGCATTCATTAACAATAATGCCATTAATGCTAAAGCATTAGCATTAACTGTTCATGCTAATGCTTTTACATTAGCATTATTTTTAACTTAATGCTAATACGACACCCCTAGTATGCACTGGTTCAGTGAATATTAGTGTCAGTGTAGACAGTACGGTCACTGTCAGTGTGTCACTGCAGACAGTTCGCTCAGTGTCAGTGCGTCACTGCAGACAGTTCGCTCAGTGCCAGTGCCTCACTACAAACAGTTCGCTCAGTGCCAGTGCCTCACTGCAAACAGTTCGCTCAGTGTCAGTGCCTCACTGCAAACAGTTCGCTCAGCGTCAGTGCGTCACTGCAGACAGTGCGCTCAGTGTCAGTGTCGTCACCGTATCGGTGAACGGCAGTGCGATTTTATCGGTGGTCAGTATACTGATACTGCACATCCCTAGTTCAAGAGTGGTGTCACAATATCGATACACTTGGTATTGAAATCGCGAGCATCCAATATCCTATATTATAACTGTCTATAATAAGGAAGTCAGGTGACTTGGTGTATCCTGCTCAATACCCTACTAAATCACCTCACTGCGGCTGTAGATGTGGGTGTGGGTCTACTTTTAACCAACACCCACACCCACACTCTCTCAATCTTATTCCATCTTTCGCCCATGAAATAACCAAAACTAGCTACATTAAAACAGAATGTCAGAGAAAACATCTTCATCATTATGTTCTGCTCAAGAATTGATGATTTGATATTTCACAACTCGAGATTTTACAATATTACACTTCTAAATAGCGGAGCGTCAGATATCCCCTAGTATTTCTGTTGCCCAAATAGTCTTGCCGTTAAAACAAATCCTTCAATATACAGCTGTTTTCAAAAAAACTTGGACAATTTTTTTTATCTTAAGATCTTTTTTCTATCATTCGAAGCAACTATAGGCGTCATTTTTTTTCGGGTTGACTCTTCGACAGTTGTACTAAATAGTGGCCATAGCGAATTGCCACTTCTCGTATTTTTAATATATATTCATATGATTATATTATCTTTTTCTCCCTTGGAAACTCTACCATATATTAATATTATACTTTTGAACCAAAGACATAAGATCTAGCTTGTGTGATCCATTGTAAAACAAGTGTTTTACTTAGGACTATCTATTACAATAATACCAAATTAAAATAAATTCTTCTTGATTAAAACGTCCAAATCAGAGATGTTCATCGCGGCGTTGCCGCGGCGGCGGTGACGCGATCGGTGCAGTAGCGGCAGATTTTTTTAGAGGACATTGAAAAACTGCATGAATTTAATAGAACTTCAGAGTTTACAGATGGAACATGCCGAAACTGAATGAATCTGATGGACTAGTATCAATATCTCTGCTCAAATATAGTTGCAACAATGAAATTAGAAACACTTTTTCGAAAACCGTCGCGGCACGTTTATTTTACAGTTTATCGCAGCAGCTTCTCAGCCGCGATGGACATCTCTGATCCAAACGAACAACTAAAATATGTACCTGTAAAAGTAAAAAAACGTTTATGAATGGAATCGTATTGCAACTGCAGGTGTGTTATCTGTTATACATTGAGATGTGACTTTGATGGTCTTTATTAAATTTATATGCTTGGAAACCACCTAGGTTTTTTGCTGTTAGGTGAAAGTGATGAAAAGAGCGAGTTCGCTTTAGAGAAACTTCATGAACAAGGGCGCCTCTAATGAGAAAAATGACTGAAAATGTATCAGTCATGTCATTGAGCAATTCGTTAGCATTAATATGTCACAAATATTCGACCGTTCATCTAATGTCTAGAATGCTAATGTCATAAAAATCTGCTGTCAGCCATAAAATATCATATTGAGAAAAATAAATTCAAAAAAAAACTAACGAACTCCATTATTTTTCAAGTGAATGAAGTGAAAAAATAATGAAATTTGTGTTGTAAATGATTTTGCGATGTGCACGAAAAATAAAATTATGTTATTTAGTTGCACTCATCGTGAGCTGTCAACCACAATATAAAACAATTCGAAGAGAGCTTGTATAAAAGACAATGCCTATAGAGAAAGGTGTGCAAATTTTTTTAAAAACCGCTGTATGAGCGAACTTCAATACTTGATCTCTTTTTATGAGGATGTCTGAAAAAATAACTGTAGAACATCACTGAAGAAGAAGAAAACAAAATTAAGCAGTTTTTCAGTCAAATTTGTAAAAACCGTGTTATCTATATTTCAGTCAAAAGTACATGATAAATATTATTCTTTTAGACATGTGCGATAAAATCTCTTGTTTATTTTTCAATAATAATTAAATAGATACGATACAATAAAATATATATTTCATAAGAAACTTTTGTTTTTACCACCATAAATATAAATCACAATAAACAATTTTAATCAAATAATCATCATGTAAATTTTTTGATTTAATTAATCTATTCAATTCTGGTATAAATCTTTTACGTAATTGTGAAATACATAAGAAAAATAAAGAATGTGTTTTAAAATAAGTTTTTGAAGCTAAAAATGGTATAAATTGTTCAATTTCATTTTGACTCATTCCAATTTTAAAATATTCTAATTGTGGAAATATGTTAAGAATAATTTGAAATTCTTCTATTGTACATCCTTCATGATAAATTTCTAATTTTTTAACTTGATTTTTAGTTGATAAATCAATTTTTTTAATTGATGTTAAATCAATTCCATTAAAGAATATTGAGAAATATTTTATTGTATGTAGATTAGGTGTAAAATGTAATAATTTCATTAATTGTTCAATAGAAAAATTAGAATGAGTAATATTTAATTTAATAAGTTGTTTTAATGAAATAATTTGATTGAGAATTGTTGAAATTGAATGATGAGATATTTTAAAATCATCTTTAATTGTTAATTCATTAACATTTGTAAAATAATTAATCGAATTATTTATTATTTGTTTACCACCAATAAGAAGATGTTTAACTAAATTTAAATTATTTTCTTGAATATTTAAACAAATTTGTTTATTTATTTGACAATATAATTTATAATCTTTTCTTCTAAATAGTAAAGAAAAAAAAAAAAAAATAATTTCGAATTTTATTTTATCTATTCTTACCGATATGGATTTGTTGAATAAAATATTCCACTATCTGAACCTTTTTCCCAACTATGTTGATGTTTAAAAAACCATTGTTTTAAAATCCAAAATGATGAATTAAATTCATTAATTACATCATGATATATTGTAGAATTATTTCCTACAAGACCACTATGATTAATATCAAAAATACGTAAATTTGACATCGAAGATAAAATTAATTTTTCCCATCGTTTTGCATTTAAAAATTCTGAATCATTACTTGATGTAATATGTAAAACTTCAATATAATGAAAGAAATTTTTAACAATCTGTTCAAATTGATTAAAATTCATAGAAGAAAGTTTAAGTGAAATATATTTCAAAGATTTCAATACAATAGGAGAGAAATCTATTGGTTTATGATAACAATCATAAATAACATCAATTGATAAATAACGAAGTTGAGGAAGATATGATAATAAATTATGAAAAGATTCATATGGAAAACAAGTATTAATTACAAGATGTTCAATTGAACTAAATATATTAGTTGATAATGTTAGATCATCCATTGTTGATAATTTAATTTTGCAATATTTTAATTTAGGTAAACGAAATATTTGAAGATAAAAATCAGTAGAATTTTTAATAAAATCAATAAGATGAATAGTTAATGAATGTAATTTAGATAAATGAATTGAATGATTAAGAATATTTTTTAAATATTTAGCATCAATATTATCAAGAACTAATGTTTTAAGTTGAATAAATTTTAAAATAATACGTGGTGGTGAAAAAATAATATCAACAGTAAATGGATTTGATAATCGAAGAATATCAATTCGATGTCTGTTGGGTATAATAATATTTTGATGATAATCTTCAAATTTTGATTTTGATATTGTTGAAATATTTATTTGAAGAGGAAGATTAGAATTTAGAAATAAATTTTCAAATCGTTTATTAAGATTGAAAAATATATAATAAACATCATAAGTATCAATATATTCAAATATTTCATAGATAATTTCATTTGCTAAATTTTCGAAAATTGATTTTTTTCTATTGATATTTGTCACTAAAGAAAAAAGAGAGAATATGAACTTTATTTAATTGAAATATAAAAATTTTTACTTTGTTTTTTATTTTGATGAACTATGTTATTATTTTGTCGTCGTTTTATTCGATTCATCTTGATTAACACTAATTAACAGAATCACTTTCGAACTATATGACTACAAAGAAGAATAGATATACACGTGGAATAAAATTCTATCCGTCTGATCCGTGGTCTAGTGAAACGAAGTCAAAATGCACTTTGATATACATACAATTTTGATTGGATAAATTTTTTACAGAAAGTCTGTTGAGTTTTTCTTTTTATCAATCTGAAAATTGTTTTGGATGAAAAGTAACTGTTTCTGAGAAAAGTACAAAATATTTTAATAGAGGACGCCACAACTTTCTCGAATTTCGCATTTTTCTAAGAAGAAGTTGCGTTTTATCTAAAACGATTTTCAGATTAATAAATAGATAAACTCAACGGACTTTCTATAAAAAATTTATCCAATCAAAATTGTGTGTCAAAGTGCATTTTGACTTCGATTCACCAGACCACAGATCATTCCCTTGTCTACATACAATGAATCGAAGAGATACATATATTCGAAAGACAAATGATTTTTATTATTATAAACGAGAAATAATTATAAATTTCATCAGTAGAAACTCAAATTGGTCTATAAATAGATTTTTTTTCAAAATAGCCGCCTTCAACAACAAACGCCATGACAAATCCTAAGTCATATCTACAGTAATGTTCCCTCGATTGTAAAGAGTGTCATATGAAATAAAATGAGTTTGTTTACGGTCATGTGCTAACCCATCTATAAGAATTTTCTTATAAAGTTTGACCAAAAGTAATCAGAGTCCGTGATTAGTTTGCGAAATTTTTATTGTCGATATGGTGTTTTTGACGAAAAGTACTGAATCTAAGTGCATCAGACTCAAGACCAAATGCAAATGTAAGTATCGTGGAACAGTCTTATTCCGACATGTGTCTAGATTTTTATAAATGGAAAAACAATTCAAGACACTTTTAAACTCGTTGATGCACAAGAAATGATTTTGCGACGTTAGCTACTAAACAGCCTTGTTTCACGAAGAACTCGATAACAACGGCGTCATTATAGACATTTGATATTCTCAAAAATAGTCTGAATAGAGTAAAGTGATATATAAATATAGTCTTTACAGTTCAGTCGAGCATTAAGCGAGTCGGAGCGACGAGTATTACTTGTTGAACAATAGCACAACGAATGAGAAAATGAATAAAATTCAATGATTCTTTTCTGAAAATTTTAGTAATGAAATCGATATTATTGATGATCTGTTAATAATCCGTCTATTATCATTAACAGTAAATTCAAGTGATTAATATAAATATCAATGGATATATGTAGAAAGAATTGATTTGTAATTATTTATCAAAATTAAAAACGTTTTATCTTCATATGTCATGTTTCTTAGAGATTGATGAGAATGTAAAAGAATTTAATGCTGAATTAGTCGATACATTTCAAACATCAATGGTTTGTTCAATATAATTGCCATCCACAAAATCTCGATGGTGTCGATAATCAAGGTGCGCTGCTTTATACGTTATCATATGTTTTTGACAATTTTGATCACATTAATACGTTTTATTCAAAATCCATTTGGTCTGATAAAACAAATTATTGATGATTAAATTATGTACATAGACTCAACTTTTATCCTAGTGATGAAAAACAAGATATGTCTTGCTTTCCAGTTCGTTTCGTTATCTTAACTTCAGTCATGCATTAGAGGAAATTAGAATAGTTTGCGCAACACTAGATCAGTTAATGAGAGTCTATATTTATCTTTTTGAATCCGAATTTTTATCATATTGACACAACATTACTTGATCGTGTGCACTTCGACTTCAAACCATAAAATTTTACAACAACAGTTAGTGATACTTTTATTAAAAATAAATCAATTCAAAATTTCTTTATTCAAGATGATATTTATTATAATATTCAACAATGTGCAAAAATTATGTACTTCAACACTTTTTAAGTAATATGAAGTTCTTAAGATTGATGTTACAATAAATGGTAATGTGTTTGATTTGTTAAGAAGAATATTCTAATCTTAAAGTATTAATTTTTAACCGTGAACGTGATAAATAATAAGATAATCTAAGATTGTTATTATGAAAAACATAATTATTTGATGAGGCATGAACAAATATTGTGACTTTATTATGATTGGATAGAGAATCGAATTGTTTGAAAATTAGACTTTAGAATTTTAGTTTTATAAAAATCAATTAATTCTTTTGTTTATTTCAAAGTAGTTTCTACTATATACAATAAAATAAAATATATTCTAAACAATGAAATTTCTACCATCATAAATACAAATCATGATTAATAAATTTAATCGAATAATTATCAAGTAAATTTTCTGATTTCATTAAAATATTTAATTTTCTTAAATATATTTTCGATATTTCTAAAATAGAGTGATGGAAAAAAGTTTAGAAACAACGAGTTTTTTTGGTTTTTTTCATAATTTTAATCATGTAGCTCCAATCCAAATAGTGATTTTAATACCCAATGAAGTTTTCTATCCAATACACTTTATAGTAAGCTTTCACAGATGAACAATGATGGCAAAGCTCCTCAAAAACCGAACACGGTATTTTTCAAGTTCTAGAAGGCTTTGCCAGCGCTATTTTTGAACGGTGTCATCTTAAAGAGCACAAACTTCTGAGCAAAGTGAGGGGTTACCAAGTTTCCTACGAACTTCTCGTAAAAAGTTACAAAAATCATGAAAAAACGAAATTTTTTTAAAAATCGACTAAAAACGCTCCTTTCATAATTTTTGTGATGCTTGTAAGTTTTTATGAGGAGTTCGTAGAAAACTCGGCGACCTCTCATTTTGCTCAGAATTTTGTGCTCTTTAAGATGGCACTGTTTAAAAATAGCTTTAGTAAAATCTTCTAGAATCTGAAAAATACCGTGTTCGGATTTTTAGAATTCTTTCCATCATTGTTCATCTGTGAAATCTTTGTTATAAAGTGTATTGGCTTGAAAACTCCAATGGCTATTAAAATCACTATTTGGATTGGAGTTACATGCTTAACATTATGAAAAAAACCAAAAAAATTATTGTTTCTAAACTTTTTTCCATCAATTTCCTCTGATATTTCAAACTAAAATTGATGATTTTTGTAGTAAAACGTAACAGATATTTAATCGACAAAGGAATTATTCTTGATTAATATCAAAAATTTATTTTTGCTTGTTTTAACTTTCTTTTTCTTTCGTACAAAAAAAAAAAAACACTAATAAAAACATGTTGGACAAGATTTTTTTTGTATACAGAAAAAAAGGACCAAAAAGAGAAACCAATTTTTCTGTTGTTTTACAATGACATTCTTAACCAGGATCGGGAAAAACAACAAAACAATATCCATTTCACGAATAATTACTTGAGGTAGATTGTCCAGGAGATGAACTGAATATCGGTGACATCGAAAGATCGATTTTGCCTTTATCGATATCAGGTGGAGGTTCTAAATAAAGAGAAAATCTTCTGTAATTTTTTTATGAAAAATAAATATCTTTACCTTCTTGTCCAGGCTGTGGCATAAGCATTTGACTATATCGATTCATCAATATACCTGTTCCTTCAATCATGGCAAGAATAAATCCACCAATCATAGCTGAAGCTACCATAGCACCAGGTCCCTCTACAAAATATACAAAATAATCTTGTCTTTTTCAAGTAATTTATAAATTGAAAACAAAAAAAATCCAATTTACGTCGAGCTTGTAAAACTGCACCAGTTAATGCACCACTCATAATTGAATTCCATGGATCTTCTTTCTTTCTTAGATAAACAAAACTACAATCAGCCAATGAAAATATGCATCCCCATGCACCAAATGATGCTACAAACAAGAAAAATAATCAAACATGAAAATACAAAATTATTTCATATGATAAAAAATTACCTCCAACACGAGGTGCTCGTTGTTTAACTGCATGTAAACTACCTAATAAACGTCGATATTGACCCTAGAAAATCAAATACATCATTTTGAATTTCTTTGTAAATTAAAATTTTTTTTTACACTCGGAGCATGACGAAATCCTTTAATTGAATGAAAAAGTGTACCACCAATTGCTCCTAGAGCAAATGCACCACCACAATCATCGACAATACGCCACGGACTATTATTTTTAATAAAAAACAAAAACTTTTAAAATTTTAAAATTTAATCTTACCAAGGTTCTCGATCCATTCTTGTTTTTTTTATTTTCTTCAATTAGATTTTACTAACAGTATTCATCTAAAACAAACCGATAAAACACATTTTTGAACGTTTTATTATTTTTTTTGTTTCTCGTTTCTTTATAAAGTAATACAAGAAAGAAAATTTATATACAATGTTTAGAGATTGCTATTGCGTACATTAAAAAAAAAAATGAAACAAACACAAAAAAAAAAGAGAAAAGATTTTAACTAAGAGTTTGATTTAGGAAAATATTTGAGTAATAATGTTTGTCGACGTCGTTCAACAATATGTCGTTGATTTTCAATATCCTAAATAATTTATAATAAAAAAAAACAAAAATTTTTTCATATAAAAATGAATTAAATTTACTCCTCGATTATGTGTTGTGGAACGTTCGATTTGATATGAGAGATTTTCAATTTCAACTTCAAGTTGAGCTTGAATATTTTCAAACTAATATTTTTGCAATAAAAAAAAAATAGAAAATTCTATATATTGAAGTTTTTAATTAATAAACTTACAAGGTTCCTATCAACAGTATCTTCTTGATAATATGCATAAGGATATGTGTACATCAATGTATAACGTGCCTAGAAAATAAAAATTTACAATATTATTCTTTTTCTTTTTCTAAACAATATTTAAATACTAGCGAGAGCCTGTGCATACTGCATGGATGCTTTTTTTCTTGTAAAGTTTCACACCTGCCCTTTAACCTGAATTCGGTAATAGACAATCAGACAGTTCGCATTATATATAGAGTAAGACCTCGTAGCCTTATACTCTTGTATTATTACTTCTTATAGTCTTATTCCATGCAACCTCATCTACTTATCCACTATACCCTTATCTTCTTATACTCTTTTAATTTTATCCCTTATGTCCCTGTAGCCTTAGCCACTTATCCCCTTATATCCCTTGAAGACCTATGGGTACCCTCATATAACAGCTCGTGAGGGCCTATGGATATCTCCATATAATAGGACTAGAGGACCTAAGGGTACCTCTATACAATAGGACTTGAGGACCCAAGGATACCTTCATATAATAGTCCTTGAGGACATATGGGTATCCCAATATACCAACACTTATAGCCTTATTTGACCTTTGACCTGGGCATAGAGACACTGAACATTATATATATAGATTCTGAATATAAGAACTAATCATAAAAATTGGATATTAATGTTATGCATACATCACATGAAATCGAACTTCGCTTTTTTATATATGCCTCAATGACACTTATTAGACTAGATTAAGAACATCATTTGGTCATATTGAATTATTGTTTACATAACTAAATAGTTTAGATTATATGTAAATGCTTCTTCATCTACTATTTTTTAATGAGATTTTTTTCCTTGGAGAATAACCAACAACAAAAAAAAAATGTATTTTTAAAATTTCAATTTTGATTAATAATAAATATAATTTAATAAAAAGAAAGAACTTACTTTTGCTAATGAATCTGCTGCTTTTTCTAGATATTGCCAATCAATATAAGTTCCATTTTGTGCATTGATATTTTGTTCAATTTTTTCTAATAATTTTGCTCTTGTTTGTTCTTCTAATTTTAAACTTCGTTGATGATTATCCCACTATAAATATTATAGAAATAATACAAAACATTAAAAAAAAAAAAAAAACTTCTTCTAACTCTTTCAAAATAATGTAAATATTTTTTAAGTGCTTCACGTGCACGACTTTGTATTGTTTCTAATTGTGATTGTGGTTGTCCACGATATTTTGAACATTCATAATAATTATTCTCATGAGTTTTCCAATCTAGAAAAAAGAAAAAAAAAACATATAATTAATTCAAAAACAAAAATATTTCTCACCTCCAAGACACATCCAACAAAAATGATGATTACACGAAAAACATGACTGAAAAAAAAATAAATATCTCTAATATTTTAATCAAAATATATGTTTTTATTTGTTTACCATATGATTACAGCCTAAAATAAAAATAATGAAGACAAAAACAAAAAAAAAATTCAATGAATTTATCAAGAAAATCTTACCTCCATTTTTTTCAATACACACTTTACATTTTGGACAATCTTTTGTATTAGCTGAAATATAATTTGCTGTTTCCGAATCCTTAATAAAAGAAAAAAAAAATAAATCTCATATAATAGAAGAAATAAGCAATTTACATCTCGACATTTTTTAAACCAATTTCTCATAATATCACAACTAGCCGGTGCATGATAACTTAATGAGCATTGAAAACTAAAAATGAAATATTTAATTAAATTTTCTTGTATATTGAAAGAAAAAAACAAGAGGATTTTCTTTTTACCAAAATTTTAAGTTACATAATTCACATTCAACTCTTCCTGGTATTGGTTTATCTATTGCTTCAAATACTCGATCACACGTTCCAGAACATAATGTCATTTGTGGATTATTCTAAATGAATTTTTTTTTTTTTTGAAATAAAATTTTTTAAATATTTTTTTTTTTCTACTTGAATCATTGCTTTAACAACTAATTTTTTATACAATTCTTTTCGGCTATCTGACGATAAATGTTGTAAAACAAAACTAAAATACAATAAAATTTATAAATAATTAAAAAGAATTAATTTTCTTTTCTAATACTTGTGTGGTATGCGTTTATCACATTTCATACACTCATAATCTATATAAATAATAAAGTAAATATATTTCAAAAAAAACAATATATGCAACTTACTTATACAATTTTGATATTGAAATTTTGTATCTATATATTGTGTCCAACAATCATGACAAAAAGCATGATTACATACTAATGATTCAAAATTCGTTTGATTTTTAAAACAAATTGAACATATATCAGGTATAGATGATGTATGAATATATGAAGATGAAAATGTTGATGGTTCAAAACGTGTTTGAACTTCATTTAATGTACTAGTTTTATATTCAAACTGTTCTGGATCATTCGTATTAATATTTGTTGTATAATTATTATTATTATCATCTTGAAATGGATCTGTATCATCATAATATGTATCATAGCAATCATCATCATCATCATCTATACAAATGAATAATAAGAAAAAAAATAAAAAAAAATTTCATTTGTTTTTTTCTTTTGAAAATATACCTGTTACATCACTATTTTCATATTCGTTGCCACTCATGAATGAAAAATCAAATATGGAAAAATAAAAGTATTATTATTATTATTATTATTATTCACTAAATGAATTATGGACGATGTGGATGTAGATCTACTATAAGTTATATGATCGAATCAGAAAATAAACAAAAAATAATAATAGATCTTTTCAATAAACCAAAGATATTGATTTCAATAGATGTCACTCATATCCGAAGTTGAAATTACATGTTTATATTATCTAAAAATGATAGTAACTTATGCTGAGAAATTTTATTTTTAATCATCCAAAATAACTATTCTTACAAATTTATTATTAAAGTAATAGCATTTTACACAAGTATAAAAGAAAAATCTTACTTTCAATAATTCAAGTAAGTGTTGAAATATCTCGACAATAATAATATGGAAAGCTCGATTAATGTATACGCTCTTATGTGTTTATCTGTTGTCATATGAATATATGAGGGTAAAATGTTGTCATAGGGACATGCCGAGGTTGACAGGATTGGGAAGGAGATCGATGAGTCAGGAGACTGATTGGAAGGTTTTTGCCAAAGTTGACTAATACGAACAGAAAAAATATAAAATGCTGAAACTTCACGGAAGAAAAGCGAAACTATTCTGAGATTAAAGGGGAGGTTATCTCCTCCATACATCCTCCGCTGCTCGAGGCACGGCCATATTTTCCTCTCTTACTTCAACTTGACATTATCAATTAAATTAATAGATACAAAACAATGATGAAAATATCTGATTATTTATTAGTATGGTTAAAATACGAAGTTCATTTCAAAGAAATATTAATCTAAACTAAATCGAATAAAATGATAACAAATCTGTGTTAATCAAAATAAATTTAACTAATTATAAAACTACTATGATGATGATGACGACGTAATTTTATACTAATACTCAATGGTTGAACATGACAGATAATCCATACTAGATGCGGACATGCAGATTAATAGAAGATCCAAATCGGCATTCACTCATAGACTCTGTATCAATCACAATAAATAACATTTGTTCGTCGTAGTAATGAACTAGTTAGTCTTTTATGAACATAGTTTTCATTTAGAGAGTACATAAATTAGGTTTTCAGACACTAAGTATTTCTGTATGTTAATCATATTCTTCAGTTAGTTTGTGGATATATTTAACTCATCAAAAAGCAGAGGTATATCGAGCAGAACTGTACGATTCATCTCATCACCTTTGTAATAATGGTTTCTATAACAAATAAATTCTTTTTCTTATTTATCATTTTAACTATTGGTAAGAATAATAAAATATTTCGACAGATAGATGTCACACATTTCTTTGATCAGAATCAATCATTTCGTTTTGTTGGATTTTAAATACCCCAATAATAATAATTCAAATTTTCGTTTTTACCCAAGGTACTTGCAATTTTGAAAGAGCACAGTGTCCTAGACATAACTGAGAAAAAAAATGAAGTACTAGAATCGTTCTCTGTAAAGTAGAAAAAGCAATTTTACTGATATTGAAGTAATGAAATATTTATTCTTATCATATTTTATCATTGAAATTTTTCTTTTATTTTAGATTTTCAATCTTGTTTCTTATAAATATTCCCATCATTAGTTTTTTTTTTCGGACGTATAAAATTAGAAATTTCAATTGAATTAAATTCATAGTCTTGCGATAAATGTATCAACATGTACAAATAAGATCAATACTAATTAATTTCATTTTATTCTTTTAATTTTTAATCTCTAATATAAAATGGAGGCAAAAAGTTTAACAATAATATATTTTTGAATTATTTTTCGAAATCGTACTAGCTATGACAAATAGATAAAAAGATTTGAGTAGTTGAAACAATGTCCTATTAGAAGAACTACTTTTTAAATTTCTATTAAAGGTTTTAGAAAGAAAATCTATGAAAAAACTAAGAATTAGTTTTATAGATACGATCAAAAGTGTTTTGTAAATAAGTTCATATGATAGAGCATTCATTCTATGAAAGGCATCAAAATGCGAAACACAAAAAATTTATCGAAATTTGATGAAGATAAGTCGTGAAAAGCTTAGGAACTTCTTATTCTGTTCAGAATTATTTCCTCTATCACATGAACTTATTCGAAAAATGTTTTTGATCGTATCAAGAAAATTGCTGTTTTTTAGACTTTCTATACCCAAATTTTTAATAGAAATTTAAAAAATAACTCTTCTGATAGAAAATTACTTGAGCTACTCAAATCTTTTCTTCGATTAGTTGTAGCTATTACCGTTCAAAAAAAAAATTCAAAAATATATTCTTGTTAACATTTTTGCCTAATCTAATCAAATGAATATATATTATCTGTATATCATTTTTCCATATTGTTCTTTTTTTTTTTTTTTGCAAAGAAACATATATACCATAACAGTATGCAAATGGTAATAGCTTTATCTTTGCTTTTTATTGGTTAGTACTCTTTTCTGTGTCACTTTGATCTTTAGAACAAAGTACAAATAGTTACTTGGTCCATAGGCACGAGATATATGTTAGAAACTTTGCACTTGAAAAATTAATCATATACTTAAACTTCTGTTTTATTCATTACAAAAAATAAAAACATTCATTTTCAACAACTTTTTTTTTTTAAATGTTAAAATTTACATAGAAATGACTATTTCATGAGAATTTTTTTTATATTAGATTCGCTTTTTTTTTTTTGACTTTGATCTACTAATAATATTCCAAAAAAAGAATTATTGCATTGATTGAATTATAAAATTATGAACAAAGAAACATTATAGTTATAAGACCTTTTCAAATAGATTCCCTATGGTTTATTTGAATTATTAAGTTATTTAATGTACAGACGAAAAAAACAAATTGTTAATCAAGACATACGTGAAATTATTTACATTTAGTAAGTATATTGTTTTTTTTTTCTTTTGTATATCATATTATTTTGTTGTTTTTTTTTTAGTTAAATGAAAAATATTCAAAATTTCTTTTTGTTTTCAAATGATCGAATTTCAAATTATTCATCCTTTTGGCATACAACAATATATTTTATTGATTTAGAAAACTTGCAAATATTTTTCTTTTCTTTACTATGATTAAATCAAGTTTCGTAAGTAATGTTTTTCATTAGTTTTGTTATCTGTAAGATTAAACTAAATATTCAAAAGTATTTATCGTTCTTTCAATATTGCCTTTTGTATATTATTACAGATGTGCTAATACCAATAGTCGATGAATCTTCTTGAGAATGTTTGAAATATCGGATATTTTATCTTTCTTTTATATATATGTCGATATTATATAACGAGAAATCGTATTTACATGACAATCGAAACTTAACCTATATTGAACGACATTTTAGAATTATATTCTTGTGTTTTATGAATAAGATTATTATCTATTTTATCTACAAAACAATTGTAAATATAACTTGATTTATGAAAGTTTAAACGAACGATGAATATAAATCAATTCTTCTTATGATTGACATGGTTTATTAAGATCTATAAGATGTACTAATGAAAGAATGTTCTCAATTGTTCAATAGAGTTTCGTTTGACACTATTGCAATTCGATCTGTCATGATGAGTAGTGAAAAAGTCTTTTTTGATTTGGTTTTCGAATCTTCGCTTATTGAATTATGATCATAGGATTGTTGATTATCCATAGATGTTAGAAACATCTCAAAATTTCAGCTAAGACTAACATATCCATATGGAGATATCAGCTTTTTGATAGAAACGTCCTTCTTATAAAACATAGCTCAAAATAGACGTTCCTTTAAAATGTGTGTATCTTAATAAGAATGCGTTTATTTTCGCTCAAATTTTGGTCTATTTCTACTTGCTATAAAATCTATTCATGAATGAAATTACAGCTCGAAATTCAATCATTCAAGTTCGCATCGATTCTATGTACATAGGACAATATTTGAATAAAATATCAATAACTCAACAAGTGAAGATCATAAAACCAAATCCAACGAGACATTTTTACTACTCTTTATGACCGATCAAATGGCAATAGACTCGAGTGATTCGATAGTTGGGAATGTTGCCTCATAAATCTCGATACCTGTGTATATTCCTTCAATAAGTGTTTTCTTCAAAACAAAAAAAAAAAGAACATCTCTACATACATATACATTCTAAAACAAACACATCAATTGTTAAGTTTTTCTTTTATATCCTCACAAATTCGATTTTCTTTTTTTTTCTTCATCTGAATAAAAAACAAAACAAAAAAAAAAACATTTCGTTTTTCTTTTTCACTATTAACTAAAAAAAGTTTTTTTTTTTTTCTTTTTTGAAAAAATCAAATAGCCGATTTAATCGATGGTAAAAGATGAACTCTTTTACATGCTATAGCAGCAGCAACTGTTGCTGCTGGTGATGGATGAGGACGATATTGATGATTAATACAACATTTTCCAATTGTTCCATTCCATAATTCAATACGAAATTGTTTTGAACGATATGCATAAACAATTGGATTAACTAATGAATTAACATTAGCTATAAGTATAAGTACATGAATAATTAAATTATTTTTAAAATCCATCCATGTATGACTTAATAAATAGATTAATAAAGGTAACCAACAAAGATAAAATCCAACGAGAAGTACAAGTAATGTACGAAGTGCACGTAAACTACGACGAATATTTACACGAAAAAGACCTGTTCGTTCTCGACCATCCTGGGAACGTTCTAAAATAGAAATAAGTCTTTGTTGTTGTTGTTTTTTTTTAGTCTATTTTATATAATCATAATTAATAATTCTTACGTATAATTGAACATGATAATGAAAAACATCGTTGTAAATCTTTTTCATCACTTATTTTATTTGGTGTAAGTAATGTAATTGTTGTTGCTGGTGTTGATGGTTGTTCATATGATGAACATTCAGATCTTAAACGTTCAATTCTCATTAAATGATCTCTTGCAATAAAAAATATTCGAACATATACATATAATATGACAATAGCAGCAAGTAGACTTATTGTTGCAAATAAAGAACAATAACTTGTTGTAAATACTCGATCAATAAGACAAGTATTACTTGAACATAAACCTTGTTTTGATGATGAACAACGTTTCATTTTATTCCAACCAAGTAATGGTAAAAGACCGATAAAAATTGAAATTAACCATAAACTTGATATCCATAATAAACAACGACGTTTTGTTATGGTTTTTTGATATGAATATGGTTTAAATATATAAATATATTTATCAATTGATATTGATAATAAAATTGATACAGACATTAACATACCAGACATAATAAAAGCATATGCTATTAAACAAATATAATAATTATTTCGTATTAAATTTAAACGTGTGAATAATATAGAATTATAATTAACAACAGCATATTCAACAAGAATATTCATAACACATGGATAAAGAAATGAACAACCACTTAAAAAATCAGCTATAGATAAATTTAATAAAAAGATATTTGTTATTAATGAACGTAATTTTGTTGAATTTAATATAGTTAATGTTACAATTGTATTTAATAGAATAACAAGAACAGATAAAATAATTCCAATAATAAATAAAATAAATTTTCGTCGTACTTCATTTGAATATTTTTCACATTCATTATGATTCATTGTTTCAATATAACGACGAAAAAAACTATCTAATGGATCAATTGTTGTTGAAATATTATTAATATTTAATAATGATGGTGCATATAAAATTTCACATTGTGAAACTGTTAAAAGATGACAAATACGAGCATTCAATAATACAAATGTATATGTATTTGTATGACGTTTTTGTACTGAAACAAGTTGACTATATTCAATAATATTTAACGAACAGTTATTCATTGTTTAGTTTAGTTCTTGTCTTGCTTGATAGTTGACCCCTTGATGCGTCACACAAACCATATGATAATAATGATGACAGTAGTATGCAGCTTACATACATACATTCATCTTACTTCTTCCGTTCGAACGTCGAAGGAGGAGTCATGAACGAATAAAGAAGGAAGATAAGATATACACATGTACACATATAAACACACACACACCCACCACAAGTTTTCGTTCTGCTTAATACTAGTTAAGAGAGACGATGACAGAAAGTCAGTCGACCGAAGATGTCTTTTCTGTCGAGTATCACGTCTCAATAAAAAAAGAAAAAGAAATGTATTGTTTATATTTTCTTTTTTTTTTCCTAATTGAACACAAACGATCGTTGAATGTTTTACGAATGTTATATATATATATATATGTGTGTGTGTGATTGTCTACAGCAAGATACTCGTTTTACCAATGGGATAAATGTCAGCTGTGTAAGAAAGTTAAAGGAGAATGATGAGAGACAATATGCCTGACAAGATAAAAATACACTTGTTCATGTTTAATCGATCAAATAATTCTTCTTGTTGAAAGTTTATAATGAATATAAATCGAAAATTTCTGTGTCGTTTTTTTTTTCTTATTAAGTATTTGAAAAGAAAAATATAAAATATCGAATTCTTAGTTTAAAAAAAAAAGACTTAGTTTGTTCAAGGAAAGTCTCAATTGAAAATTTACAATAATAAATTTATAAAATCATCACAGAATTCAAATAATAAAACAAATACTGAATTTAAATATGTAATTCATAAAATTTCTTTTTTCAAGTTTACTTTATGAATAAAGTCTAGCGAAAGGTTTTCTTAAAATACTGAGTGTCTCAAGTAACGTCGGGTGCGTCTTTGTTTCAACAAGTCTTTCGCTAGGATCCCGACAGACGCTGCACAGTTCATAGATATGGTACCATAATTAAAAATTTTATTCATTGACCTTTGAAAGAAATAATTTAAAAAACACAACTATCACTCTTTCATAGGCCAACGTACTATATGTTACGACATACTAATATGAACATTTTTATTAAAAACTTCTAACTAATTATTTTCTGTATAATTTAGATGCAGACTGTTAAGCTAATTGGTCAATTATGTTGGAAATATTTAATTGAATGTATCGATTGATATTATGAATAGAACGTTCTCATGGAAATCTTTGTTTAACATTTCAAAGTACTACTAGTTGATTTCTTACGGCTTTCTTTTGACAATATATTATGAATAGATAAAAATTATTTTGAAAAAGAAGAGAATGATATATCTTAAATTTTATATATAGAAAACAAAAGCGACTAAATTTTCATTAAATAATTTCTTTGTCCAGCTGACGGCGAATAATCATCGTCAAAAAAATGACATGAGAAAATGCATGCCTATATTTGCAAACAGCTGTATAAGCATTTATTGAATATTCGATATCTCAAGAAGAATATATATTTTTAGAATAGTCTAGTTACGATAAGACCTATCTATAGGTAAAATTTCTGTTGAAAATCTTGTTACTGTACTTTTCACGAAAAATTAATCCAGAGGTCGAAAACATGCATAACTGTGGGTGGTTGGACTCGAACCTTTTTCGAATTTTTTTAGTTCCACAGGTGACCAAACTATCCTAACTGTAATCCACCATTTGAATTCATATTAGACCCATAAAAAAGTTTCCGTAAGAGTAGAAAAATCTTAAACGAGGTAGTACCCATGAACCTCTGAAGCTGCATTATGACCGTTTTACTGAATTTTCAACTTATTTTTAGATGTTCACTAGAAAATTCAATAATGGAATTTTGACTTGAAATTCAGTTCAAAGATAGGTCTAACGACCCTAAGAATATCGTGAAAATTTCAGCTGACGAGAAAAGATCTCCAAATGATCCACGTTGTTTTTAATGATATTTTGTCGATATGTTGGGAACATTATTCTAAGAGGGTTTACGCCCATGAGCCTTCCTTCGAAGATTATGACCATTTTACTGATTCAAGGTATATAGGGAAAAATTGAACAACGAAATTTCAATCTGAAATAATCTATAAAGTCCTGAAAGACTGACTTTCTTTAAAAATTGAATATCTCCAAAAGGAAACATTTTTTCCGCTGAAACTTTTCAAGTGTTCTAATGACCACAAGAGCTACATATAAGCAAAATTTCAGATTGAAATTCCGTTCTTCAATTTTTCTCTATATACCTTAAATCAGTAAAATAGTCATAGTCATCAAAGGAAGGCTCATCGGCATAAATCCTCTTAGAATATTGTCCCTAACATATCGACAAAATATCGTTAAAAGCAGCGTGGATCAATTGGGAATCTTTCCTTGTCAGCTGAAACTTTCACGATATTCCCAAGAGTCATTAGATCTATCTATGGATGAAATTGAAGTTCGAAATTCTGTTACTTGGCTTTCTAGTAAATACTTAATTCAATAAAACGATTATAATTCGCGTGTAGAAACCTATGGACGCGAACTCTTTTTAGTTTTTTCTAGTCTTACCGATACTTCCTTGTAAAGTGATGGAAAAAAGTTTAGAAACAACGATATTTTTCGTTTTTTTTTCATAATGTTAAGCACATAGTTCCAATACAAATAGTGATTTTAATAGCCAATGTAGCTCTCTATCCAATACACTTTATAGCGAGATTTTACAGATGAAAAATGATGGTAAGATTCCTAAAAAACTGAACACGTTATTTTTCAGGTTCTAGAAGACTTTGCCATAACTATTTTTGAACGATGCCATCTTAAAGAATACAAAATTCTGAGCAAAATGAGGGGTCGCCGAGTTTTCTACAAACTTCTCATAAAAAGTTACAAGCATCACAAAAATCATGAAAAAGACGTTTTTAGTCGATTTTTAAAAAAAATTTCGTTTTGCCATGATTTTTGTGATGCTTGTAACTTTTTACTGAGGAGTTCATAGAAAACTTGGTGACCCCTCATTTTGCTCAGAATTTTGTGCTCTTTAAGATGCCATCGTTCAAAAATAGTTATGGCGAAGTCTTTTTTAAGAGTCTTACCATTATTGTTCATCTGTAAAATCTCGCTATAAACTGTATTGAATAGAAAACTCCATTGGCTATTAAAATCACTATTTGGATTGAAGCTACGTGCTTAAAATTATGAAAAGAACCAAAAACATCGTTGTTTCTAAACTTTTTTCCACCACCTTAGGTTCAATATAAGTTCAAAACAACAAATTGAATGTTAATCTTTTTTTTGTTTGTGTCATGTATTTATAAATCGTCTTATATGTTTTTTTATTATTTAAATAGAACAAAAAAACAAAATTATTTTATTTTTTCTTATAGATGATTGTAAATAAGTATCATGAATAATAAAATTCACATTTGTATATTATATTTCTATGACGTCTAGTTCAAGTCAAATATCATATAAATTTAAACATCATACACCTGAATATATATCCGGCTTTCTTGCATCAGCAACAAATATTATTTTAACATATCCAATTAATAAATTAATATTTCGACAACAAATTTTTCGTTTAAAAACAATTGATGCTTATCAACAATTAAAAAATGAAGGTTTAAATATTTTATATCGTGGTATACCATTACCATTAGTACAAAAAACACTTTCATTAAGTATTATGTTTGGTACAAATTCACATTATTTACATATATTTCAATCATTTTCAAAAAATGATCATTGGTATTATCAACCACTTGCATCTGCACTTGCTGGTAGTACAGAAGCTATACTTACACCATTAGAACGTACACAAGTTTTATTACAAACACCAAAATATAATCATTTAATACGTAATATTAATCATGCATTTATATTAATATATCAACATTATGGTATTATAGAATATTATCGTGGTGTAACATTTATATTAATACGTAATAGTCTATCAAATATGATATTTTTTACTTGTCGAAAACCACTTAAAGATATTTTACCAAAAACATCATCAAATTTTCAACATACAATATATGATTTTTTAACTGGTGGTTTATTAGGTGCATGTTTATCAACATTTATTTATCCAATAAATGTTTTAAAAAATATTCAACAATCTAAACTTAATGATAGATATGATAGTTCAATAAATATTTTTCTTAAAGTTTATAAACAACGTGGAAATTCATTAAAAGAATTTTATATTGGTGCTAAATGGAATTTTCTACGAAGTCTTATATCATGGGGAATTATAAATAGTACATATGAATATTATTTAACCGTTATACGAAAAGCTATTTTTAATGATAATGAAATATAATTATTCTCTTTTCTTTTTATCGAATCATTTGATAATTAACCGTGTGAAAAAAAAAATCTGTATTTTCTCAAAAAAAAAAAACAATCAATTGATTTATTTATTATTATTTTTTTTTTTTTTTGTATTTGATGATAAGTAACAATATCTTATAGCTTATCTCATGTTATTTTTTGTTTCTTCCATATTTGTATGTAAAAAAAACAAACTCTAAAAGAGTTATTAGTAAATTATTTATTTTTTTCTAACAACAAAGGTCAATGGAATACAATAATATTATGAAAGATTGATGGACAATAGAGTCGAAATATATTTATGTTTGTATTATGGTTGAATGTTTTTTTTTTATGAAATATAGGGATAGGAATTTAGATCTTCTCCACAGATCGTATATGAACTACCGTCTGATTGCATGAGAAAGAAATATGTGCCAAAAAAAAAGATAATTTGGACGAAAAAATTTTTTGTGTTCTTACTGTTGCGATTCGAAAACTAACAGTTAAAATCTTTATTTATATATTAGCTTGTAGATAAAAATCTATCCTACAAAATGTTCTATTTGAAGCTTTTTTCATTTTTTCTAAATACTCATTTTTGAAAAATCAATAACCGTTGTACGTTGAAAGAAGCGCTTCTGAAAAAAAGATACTTAGATAAAAGCTACAACTTAGTTCAATATCATATTTTGTAGAGAAGTATCTGCTCTGCAAAACGACCTATTTCGATAATTTTTATCATTTTCGAAAACAGAACTTATAGGGTAAATAAAAATAGACACAAAATTCTGGTCGTGATCGATAGTTTTTGGCACGTCTGAAATACTTTTAACTCTTTTATGGTAATGTGACCCACCGGTGGATCATACTATATTTTAAAGCCAACGGGTGATCTAGAATAAATCGCGGCACTCTTTGCATTTCATATTTTAACCTCTAAACACGTTTTATTATAAGATGCAACGGGAAAAGGTCTACAATTTCCATAGGCAAACTTATTTTAATTGTGTACTTTTTCTTTTGAAAATAAAATGTACACATATGAAATAAGATTTACTATGTAGATTCTAGAACTTTTCACGCTGCATTTTATGATAAAACATATTTAGAGATTAAAATATGAGATGCGAAGTGCAACCATTTATTCTTTCTACGAAAATCGAATCGCTGCGAAAGAGTTAATTTATTTAATATTATTGATAGTTTTAAAGAAAAAGAAATCAATGAATGTAATGTTTATATAGACTTTCATAGGGAAGGACATATGTGAAAGTTTGTTTGACTTCATTGTCATTAATGAAATTATCGTACTGTGTGCAACCAACGTTTCCATGTAATAGTGTGGATAGAAAAGCAGATGAACATGTCAAAATTAAAGACTTTGGAAAAATTATCGAAATATACAAATATAAAATACATTATGACTAATTCGATTAAAATACTATAAACAATATCTATCTATATCGAAAAGAAAAGACTATTAAAACAAACATCCATAAAAATATATAACAAATTTGATTTATCCATGTTCGTTATCCATGAGAATTATTTTTCATAATAACAGTTTCATAAGTATAATTTTTTTGTAATATTCTGAATTACGTCTGATACAAACGAACATTTGTATTTAAAATTTTTTTAAATATTTTTTTTTTCGATAGTTGATTAATATAAATTAATGATTTTAATTCTGATTATTATATTTAATAAATAATTTTTGTTTTTAATTTCAATTAATATACATTTATTATGTATTTTGTACAATAAATATCAGTTATAATAATTGTTTCATTATTTATTACATTAATAATAACTTAATATTTTTGAAAAATTTTTAAAATCATAAGTATATAAATATCATTTTCATATTTTATTTCTCATCTATCATCAATTGTTTTAAATGTAAGATGTTCAATAAAAGATTCAGAATATTTGACATGTATTATGAAATAATTTGTTGAACAAATTGATTGTTTAGTTGATAGAAATAAATATGAAGAAAATATTGTTCAATAGTCTTTCGTAGAATCATCTACAAAAAAAAAACAAATATTTTCTTTTTTTTTTTATTCGTGAATGAAATCGTAAGAAACAGATAGAATTATTCTTTGAAATAAATGATATAATCTATTGATTTCTTGCATATTTCAAATGAATTATTTAAAATTTGATCGATCAATTTAAATAATTGTAATATCTATTTGATGACAACATACAATTTTTTTTTTTCTTTTACCTTGGAACTTCAAAAAGATTCGAATAAAATGATTAATGATTTATATAGATTTAAAAAACAAAAAAAGAAAATATGAAGGTAGATGTTATGATTTATTTCATTATAAAGTTTAAAAAAAAGATCGGAAATACAATGCAAAGGAAAAAAAAAGGATGTAGAAAATATACAAGTTTTTTGGCACTTTTGGAGAAAATCGTATAAATTTTTCAAAATATGGTTGGTATAAAATAAAAAGTTAAGAATTTGTGAGTACATAAAATAATTGTTCAAATGTTTGTAAATAAAATAATATATCCATTTTTTTGCCCATATTGATCTTAAAATATTCTAATAAGAACTTCATATACAACTATCAGTACAAGCATCAGAAACAGAAGTAGTACCTTGAAAACCAGATGATTGATCAAAAATTTCTAACATGATAATGTCTATATTTATAAAACATGGTTATTGAATTGCTGAATTCTCCATGTTTCAATCAATTGCTAAAACAAAACAAAAATTTTACTGATTACCACCTTAGTATAAATATAAAAATTCATGATATATGATCGATAATGATTATAGTTAATAAAAAATTTGACTTCTCATACATTTTATCATTCATTTTTTATGTACATGAATGCAAAAAAGAAAAATTGATGTATATAATCATTCATGCATGAAACCTGAATCAAGGAGACATCAAAAGAATGATTTGTCTTTTCTTTTTTTTTTTTTGTTTTCGAATCGATCGTATTTAATAATAATTTTATATTAGACTTTTGTTTATAAAAAACAATCATCAAAAAAAAAAAAACAAAAAGAAACTATTTTAACGTTTTATTTTGTCGATCTTTGTTTTTGGTAAAAAACTTCAGTTTTGTTTTTTTCTTATAAACATATTATTAATCTTTTGAAACAAATAAAAATGACATTTTAAGAGAAAGTATTTCTTTATCAAATGATTACTTCAATGAATAAATATCAAAAAAAGAAAACAGATTAAAATTGATAATAAACTTACGAAGTTCATTGATAATAATCCATCTCATATAATTCAAATCAAACAAAAACTGTTAGTATACCGTTCAATATCATATTCGTTAAACTAATGATAATTTGATATTTAAATAATCAAATGTTTAGCAGATATTTTACTTTGCGGTATACCGATAGTTGTTCTGCAATCTACCGTTGATATATCGGTGTGAACAACCTTTTAACATGGAATATATATGTATTATGATTTCAAAATAACACTGTTTTTTTTTCTTTTTCTCGGTTACACTTGATTGGCCATTCATTCAATATGCACTCTTGTTTATTTTTATATTGCAATAAACATTGCGAAATTTGTCTTATTCATATGAAAACTATTTGTCAGACACCTTGACTTTAGAAAAACATATACGGCTGTCATTTAGGTATACATGTTTTCGCATCTTACTAAATATTAATTTTTGTTTTGATAAAAATATTTTTAAGTGTTAATATTCTCAATGTAACTACTAAATCAGATTGATGAAACAGAACCAGCTGATAATTTCTTTTTTGTATATCATTTAAAAAATTGAAAAAAAAACGAATTCTGTCCTGTCAATACTAATTTTCTTCAAAAACGTTTATGTGAAACAAAAAGCAATTGTTCATGTTTCACGAATACAAAACAAAAAAAGAAAATAACATTTACAAAATCCTATGCATACCATGGTAAAAGATAGTATCGTAAATAATAATACAAAGCAAGATTAAAAAAAAAAAGAAGAAAAAGGTTTATATAACTGAGACGACACATCTGTCCATTGTATGCATTGTTTGACTAGTCAAATGATACTTAAATTGTAGATGAACATGTCCTGATTTGATGATTCATCAAAAAAAAATATGTATATATATATATAAATTTTGTACATAAATATTAATAAGTTTATCAACAGGTCATCTTGATTCTTGTATGAAGTTTTTGATGTTTCGATAAATGATCACTACGCATAAAGGCTTTTTGACATACAGGACAAATATGTTTCTTTTCACCAGTATGAGTTCGTCGATGTCGACTTAATTCATCTGATCGTGCAAATGTTTTATCACAATTTGACCACGAACATGAAAATGGTTTTTCACCTATAACAAAAAAAAAATTGTTAATAAATAATTTTTATTTTTTAATTTATTAATTCTTATGATTATGATTTAATTCTTAACACATTGAATATTAACTACTTATTTAAATATTAACATTCTTTTCTTTGTAGTAATCTTTAAAATTACTTTTTGACGAAAGGAACAATGATGAATTAATCATATGAAATAATAGACTCGGGGGGACGTATTTCATATAATGAAATCTTTCTTTTGACATTTCTTTTTTGCTAAGTACAGAATATGAATCTTGTCTATTCTATTAAAATTTTTTTAACCTTCAAATATGACCTTTTAGAAAATTTATACTCCAATTTTTAGTTTATAGACTTTGTATATTCCTGTTGAAAACGTTGAAATTTACCAATTCAATGAAGAAAAAATTTTATATGTAATGATATCTTCGCTTTTCTCTTTGGTACTATGTAAAATTTTACAATCTAACAGTACGATGATTAGTTTTTTTTTTTGTGTCAACTATTTTTAGTTTTCTTTTAAATAAAAAAAAAAAAAAAAAAGAATCTAATATTATAACTTACCAGTATGTATTCGAACATGAGCTTTTAAATGAGATGATTTAAAATATGATTTTTGACAACCAGGATATATACAGATATGATTTCTTTTTCGATCAAATGTTAATGTAGATTTGCATGTTGGTATATGAAAATCTGATGATGGAATGGCAAATGAAGTTTTAGCTACAGGAATATATTCACCATTGAGATTAACATAGAGAATATGATAGTCGTGATTATTATCATTATTATTATTAATATTATTGTTTTGAATTAAAGATGTTTGACTATCATCATTTGATGATAAATATGGAGATGCGCATGGTGTTGATGATGGATCTGATGAATATTCATCAGATAAAGATGATGATATTGAATCTGATCGATTTGATAATGTTGAAATAGGTGTATCAATTGATTCACTAACATACTAAATAAAATAAAAAAATACGTGTATATATATATATATTCAATGAAATAAAATAATTAAATAATTTACTTACTGGTCGAAATTTTGGATGAAGTTTTCTTGGTTTTGAAGGTTGTGCAGAACTTATTGAAAGTAATAATTCAGCATCTTGTACACTAACAGGACGATTCTATTGATTAAAAAATTACAATAAAATCTATGATAATCATTAAAATTTTTTAAAATATCACTTACGATTTCTTCTTTTGGTATAATATTTAAATCAATTGGTTTTAATTCTGAATATATCATTGTCGTTGTTTCTGATAAATTTTCTCTTATATTCGTCTCAAAACCATCTGCTACAATACAGGATGATATTTGAATCATGAATATGTCTTCTAGTTCTATATATATTCCAATAGGCAACTAATTCTATGTTTAATTATATGTGAACTATGTAAGTACAAAGCAAAAAGGGGCAAGTCAAGTACAATCACGCGTTCTATGCATGATCCAAGACAGTATCAGTCGTTGATCACACAGTAATGTTATGTGGGAGAACGAAAAAAAAAACATGCTGTGGATCATACTTCATTTGCTATCAGAACAGAACACAACACACACCCCCAATAACAGAGGTGTATGGAAAAGAGAACATGCGCTCGACTTGTGACAAGAAAAGATGATGAAATACCATACTAACGATGCAAATACGTTGACGTACAAAGAATAAGAATAAGAAGAAGAAGAAAAAAAAATAATGAAAAACTTGCTCTTTGATATTGATTAGAATCACGTCTTAAACATGTGCATTCAATGGACTTTCGAACTGAAATAAAAGGAAGACTTGTTGTCTATATTATCATATATTGTATGATTCAAGTCATATTCAGTTATACAGAAGATCATTTGACGTTGTTTTTTTTTTTTTTTTTTTAATCAACTAGAAACAATAATTAGAAGAATAACAAATAAACATATATATATATATATTCATTTCCAAAACATATTAAATAAATAAATTTATATTTTAAAATACAATACAAAAAAAAAAAACAAATGAAATTTAATCATTTATTTCAATAACATATTCTGCAATTTTTTTTTCTTTACAGACAAACATCATATGTCCTTGTTGTTATTTTACTCTTGTGAGAAAATAAAAAAAGAATAAGTATAAGATAATATAATCACTGAAATATGAAACGCATACAGATATATCTTATCGTATAATATACGAAAAATACAAAACAATATGTCAATAAACGTAGTACTTAAAAACAAAGTGCAAATTCTATTGCAATATATATTTTACTTGTTTTTTTTTTTCTTCATAGTAATAGTAATTACTATAGGATGATTTTTAATCATACAAGAAAAAAGAAATATTTTCTTTTTGTATAGAAAAATTTCGAATCTAATTTATACAATTCTCTCGAACAAAATCTTCGCATTATCTTCTGTTCTGTATTTATCATTAGCAACATATTTAGATATGTCATGTCAACCCAAAAGAATCAGTCTCTGTCAGTGCATACGTAGAGATATACGAAAAAAAAACAATAATGTCACATGAGAAATCATACTGTTCTGTATTAGGATTATGATATAAACAATAGACTATATTATCGTAAACATATGTTTAAATAATATTATTCCTTCCATCCAGACACGAGAATAATACGTTCTATCTTTATTAATGTTTTTTCATAGACATACCAAGCAGGATATAATATAATGATTCATTGCTAATAAATACATACTTTAAGGTTGATTCATAATAAAATTCGAATATTTTTTATGATTGAGAAAAATAAAATAATTTATAAGAAAACATGTTACCTCGAAATAGCAAAAAAATAGTCAAAAAAAAAAGAAACCAACGACAAACAAGTTTCATAAGATCATCGATTTACATATATTCAAAGATAAGCCATGTCGAATTAGTTGTCTTATTAATTAACGAATACTTTTATTTGTTATCATTCATCGTATGTCGTTAGTAATTATTACATAATGTACTAAATTGTCACTGGAATGTTAAATGCCATTAAAACAATATTTATTCATTAGTAGAATGAAATGTTACAAACAAAAAGAAATAAAAAAAATAATCTTCTTAACGTAAACGTCGAATTTCCTTTAAATTTAATTTCTGATAGTTTAAGTACGTTTATCTGATGAATAGATATTTTAATTAATTCGAAAGATTAATTTAGTAACAAAATATAGTAGTGTTTTGTTATTCATTAACAATACAAAATTATTTAGTTCTTTTAATATTTAAATGTAAGATTGGTGAAGAGGACAGTTATTGATGTTAAAACCTTGAGTCTGATTCGATCTATAAATTTTATAATTTTGACTCGTCTTTCACATTTCGATTGATTGTTTTTATTTTACCACATTTTATCTCAAAAACTAGACAGATATTTTTTTTCATGCTAGTTTACTTTTATATTGCATATGAGATTTTTAAGATAAATTAATGTTTTCTTAAATTTCTTTATTCTTTTCAAAATTCTATGGATATCTTGTAGTTAGATTATATCAAAAGTAGTATAGCAGTTGCATTATGATACGATAAAGAAAGCCTTGAAGGAACTTTTTCTCTCATATATTGATATTACAATCAGTGCTTAATTCTTCAATTGATATCATCATAATAAAATTTCGATGAAAATTATTCATCACTGTTCTTTCGATAGATAAGAAAAAATTTTTTCTATGTACTTTAAAGTCTGTACTGTACTTATACATTCTATAATCGAAATTTTTATGATTTTTCGTTAGTTAATAACAAGCTTAATTAAAATGTACTCCAATAAAAAAATATTAATTGTATGAAAACAATCTATTCATATGCTATTGATGTTCTATTAAATGAAGATATCTATTCAAAATGAGACAAATTGTTTCTAAAGGAAAATAAATTTTCTTAAAATTCTATACCGACTGACCTCCACGTAGGTCGAGAAAGAACGAAAAAAAAACCGTCCCATGGGATGAGATATGGCGAACTGTCTCATGTGGGATGTGATAATCGACAAATATTTCATCCCATGTGGAGTGGAATGGAAGGGAAACTTTTTCCTTCCATCCCATAAGACTTGACACTCGTCAAATATAAAAAACAAAAACAAATTTCTAAACACATCTCAGAAAAGTATTATGAATTCATCATTTTGAAAGTAGTTTTCTTTAATGTCTCAAAACCAAGAATTTTCCTTTTGTCAAGTGTATTAAATACGTATTTTAACTGGATGAATACTAAGAAAACTGATTCTCGAATTTCGACTTGAAACTTTGTACAGAGACAGATCTTAACAAGAATAGTTTATTATGCAAGTTTCAGATCATTTTGTTTTTCCTATTCTAAGATATGGCTATGGTAGAAGCTCGTTGTATATGTTGCTCATATACACAAGTACATTTCAATATTCTTATTTCAGAAGAGGACCAATCAAATAAATCTGAAACTGTCGCAATAAACTATCTTCATAAAGGTCTGTCTTTTTCCAAAATTTCAAATCGAAATTCGAAAATCACTCTTCGTGGTGTTTCTGAGGGAGGCCATAGCATAATGTTAAAAAATACCGTAAAAGTGTAATATTTCGCCAGTGATTAGCTAATAGTTAGTTCGAAATTGCTTAAAGTATTCTCACAGCTCACTAGGACTTACATGATACGCATAGTCGTGACTACAAAATGATTTCACAGTTGAAAACGTTCTTTCATAAATTAAAATCCAAAAAGATTGCTGTAATTATATGTCGTATGACAAAAGAAAGATATGACAAGTGAAGGTTTTCTTTTACTCTTCTATATTAGTCTATGATCATATATACATAAATCATATCAAATTAATGTCGAATTTGAAATCCAGTAACGCACTTAGTATGAAACATTTTCGTGTACATCGGTTCTCATGCAAACTTGTTTGTACTATTGCCACACAATGGCCGCAATGTAGCATCATTCATCGTGTGAAACAGGATACATCCGAAAAACAAAACTACAACTTTGAAAAATAACTATTTTATAAAATATTGCATAGATTATTTATATAGTCGTGAGTTATAACTAACATTAAATAATTGATGTATTTTTTTTTTGTATTACCACTAATTGGAAGAATCATTTGATGTCATTTTATTCATATCTGTTTGAATGTACGTAACACCAACAAATTTATCACGAAACTCAAAATACAGTTTATTCATCTTATTCACTTACATTTTAAAGGGCATGGGACAATAAGGGCATTTTTCTCCCCAAAAGATTTTTGGAAAAAAACTACATGATCATAATAAGTCGTTCATGGGCTACAACATAGGCATACTTTTTCACCATAGTTCGGGATCAAAAATTTCTGCACCTGTACTCCTCTACGGCACACTTGGAAAATTTTTTTTTTCTTTGGTCAAATACATGCCACAATATAGAGTTAATACTGCTGATCGCGAATATGAGCGTGGATTTTTGTCTGAAATCTTTTAATAAGCGAGAACGCGAAATTCTTTATGATTTCAGTCCTACACCAGAATTCAAGGTTTCCGATAGTTTTTGGGTCCGTTTTCTCTCAATTTTGCATTCCAAATCTTTGAAAACATATTTCAAATCGGTAATCAACTATTCTCTATCTAAAAATCTACACTCATATTCGTGATCAGTACTATTGACTCTATATTGTGGCATGTATTTGACCAAAGAAAAAAAAACTTTTTTTCCAGGTGTGCCGTAGAGGAGTACAGGTGCAAAAATTTTTGATGTCGAACTATGGTGAAAAAAGATACCTATGTTGTAGCCCATGAACGACTTATTACGACCATGTAGTTTTTTGCCAAAAATTTTTTGGGAAGAAAAATGCCCTTGTCGTCTCATGACCTTGGCCATCTGTTTGATGAAGAGACATAAAATAATTATAAGTTCAAGTTATGTGCTAATTTATTATTTAGTAATTATGAATTTTATTTTATTCTAATTAAGAAAAAAAATAATAAAGTTATTTCTTTATTGCAGCTAGTGTTGCTATATATTCGCTTTCTTTTGATGATCTTGTAAAACATTTAAATAATAAATCTTTATGAAAATAATTAGCTAATGCTGATCGTTCTTTCATAATTTGTTCAAGTTTTATTAATGCTTGACAATCTTTTTCATTAGGTAATAATTTATGACAATAATCACGTGCTAATGTAAATGCTTCAAAAACAAAATAATCAGCAATAGTTGGTTCTAATTGATCATAATAAAATGATGTTGAACTTTTTTTAAGTAAATTATTTAATGCTTTTAAATCATTTGAAATTTTTTTTACTAAAAGATTCATTGGATTTTTTTCATCAATAAAATCAATTCTAATTTGTATACATTGTAAAACACCGGATATAACATCAATATATGCACATGAAACAACACCATCAATATAACTATGTAAAAGATCTTCATCATCAATGGATGATGTTAATTTACCATATAAATCAAATTTTCGTGCTAATAACTGTCCTATGAAAATTAAGACAAAATAAAAAATTTATTTGTATTAATTAAACAAACCTATTGTTAATGTTTGACTAAAAATATGTATATCATTCCAATGAAGTACAGGTAAACTATGAAATGGTCCGGATATTGTTTCGTCAGTCTTGTGTATGATCCATGATTCGGCTGATTTCTCAAGTAATTCAAAATCTTCTTTATAATCAACATTTTTATGTGTATATGCAATATCTTCAAGCATATAACGAACAGCTTGAACACAACCACGACAATTCCAATAATGAAGTCGAAGTTTGATAGTACTTGTTACTTTTGTTGACATAGTTTTGTTCTTGATAAAGTAAAAAAGGAAAATGATAAAACAAAAACACTGCCTCAATATTTATATGGCAATAGTTTAAGAGAAGAAAAAAATAAAAGATGATGAATTTTTTTTCTTTTCTTCATTATGATAAAGTACGACATCAGTTTATCGATGACATATACGAAGTATTAAGAGCATCTCATTCTTTTTTCTTCTAATTATAGTTTAAATCAAAATTCAGCAATCACGAGAATATCTATAAGATTCATTTCCTGTCTATAGGCAATTTATTTTCGAAGAAGAAACAATATGATTGTTGACATATGTTAATTTATCTTTTTTGTTTATAAAACTCTCTGCAGATATTGAAACGTCGTAGTGTGAAATATACACAACCATTTATGAGATGCATTACTTCAATTCCATAGACTCGACGTTTTCTTGTACCAACACATAGTCGACAATTTCTTTAGAGCACCTAGACATGGCTTATTTGCTTTCAAAAATGCAATTTTTTCTATAGAAATATTAATTTCCAGTACTCAACAAAAAAAGTAAAACTCGTAAAAGAACATTTTCGATGGAAAATACACGAGGGAATCCTTATCCTGAACTTTTGTCGAAAAAAGTTATTTTTTAATAATTTACAAATGTCATATTATTCGATATAGTTTTTCATGCTGATTCCAAATATGTCGTTGTTTTTCTCGTAAAATACTTATGAGATCAAAGAATGTGAAAAACCTTTCAACATCAAGATTTTTTAGAAAACTCTTAGTTTAGAAAGCATGTATACTTTTTCAAATAGGGAACCTATTAGAACAAAGTTTTTCATATAGTAACAGAAACTAGGCCATTTTTTATGGTCGAAAATTTTTCCAAATCCTTAAAGAGCTAGAGTAATTCTTTTTTAAATCAAAAAGTCAGTCCTTAATCAAAGTATACTGAACATTATTCAAATCAGTAAAAATATCATTTTCATTTTTCCACCAAATATCCACGTTGTTGTCCACTGTGTAACAGAGGATTCAGTTAAATTAAATTATTTAGTGATTTGAAATCAATACAAAAGTATGTTATATTTGACGAATTAATATTCAATGATTATTCGAAATTTCCATACAACGAAAAGAGAATTGAATAAGATTATATCTACGAAAGATTTTGATCAAACATTTAAATACTTAAGTTATTTAAGATAAGATATGTAAATGAAATTTATAAAATATGAATTAGGTGAATAACTGTTTAGTTGTTAGTTTTTAGAAGAAAAAAGACAGATGAAAAAATAAATCAGGAATAGGTATTTTTATGTAAATCTAATGTACAACCAAATCGATAGAAAAGTTAGAAGAAGATAAGTATTATTCAATAGTTTAGATCGTAGGGGAAATGTTGCATTTTCCTCGATGACAGTTTTTTTTTGGTTTCTTCAATTGTTTGCACAAATGGTTCTGAAACATATTATCCAGATATCAAGCATTTAGCTTCGCCGGGAAGCGAATTCTCGAGAGTGTAGATGTGGGTGAGACGTAACGTATGGACATGGATGTAGATGCGAACGAAGAGAAACCTAGAGCCCACACTCTCATGTGGGAAACCGACATTAATGACTTTGAGACTGTCTATGTTGATTGTGTCACCTTAACATTTGACTTTGTGAACGTATAGATGTGAACATGGCTAAACTGAAGAGATCTATGTCATACCCTCACACTGACTCATACCGACATGTATTTTTCATGATGTTATGTTGTCTGGACGATTGAAATATGCGATCGATACTAAAAGTGAAGCAAAACGATTCTATGTTCTGCATCTATACAGTCATACGATAATTGCTATCTTCATCAACAAAGATTATAGTGATGAATTCTCTTTTCTTTTGAGACATAAGAAAAAAATGAAAATAAAAGTGACACTCGCTGTCAGAATACTTTTCTTATGCGAATACATTATTCGTCGTATTCTGAAGAAATCTCTTTCTTTTTCTTCTGTTTGAAGGTTATAATAATATTTATTCTTTATAAAAGCAAATAGATTTTGAAAGGTATGCCACAACTAGCAGCTTGGAGAGACTGATGATAGAAGAGAAAAAAAATAAAACAGCCTTATCAATATGCAGCAGCAAAAAAGGCCAGTTTACTATCGATTTTGAGTGAATTACGATTACTTTCACAATTCCGATTCACGTACGTTGCAGCAGCTGACAATTCTTTCACTTCACGTATTCATGGCCGAATCAACGCCGCTATCAATCGCTAGTCACGAAGAGAACAAGGAGAGCACCACACTCATATGGTTCGACCCAAAAATCGGCTCTTATGCTGATACTAAAGTCACCATGCGACGACTTCGTGAGATCAACAACTATGTTGCTTTTCACACCGAGCTTCAATCATGCCTCATATTCATTCAGTCCATTCAACAAGAGAAGATTTTTCTAATCACCTCCGGCTCTCGTGCTTCTGAACTGCTGCCATTAGTGGCTAATCTCCGTCAAATAGATTCCATATTTATTTTTTGCTATAAAAAAGCTAAATATGAACATTTCACTGCTCAATACTCAAAAATCATCGATATCTATGACAGTCTCGATCCATTATGTGTCTCGATTCGAGATCAAATCGATCTTGTCGATAAACAACTAGCAACATTCAGCTTTTTCGATCGACATCAGAAGGCGTTCAAAGATCTCTCGCAACAAGCAGCAGAGTTTCTGTGGTTTCAATTGTTCAATGATGTCATCTTGCGTCTTCCTCGTAGCCAACAAGCTAAACAAGAGATGCTCACCATGTGTCGTCGATATTATCGAGACATTGGAAAACAATTGAAACTTATCGATGAATTCGAGCGTGATTATCAACCAGAAAATGCCATTCGATGGTATTCGAAACAATCGTTCGTCTATCAGCTGGTGAATAAGGCACTGAGAAGTGAAGACATTGATCAACTGTACATCTTTAGATTCTTCATTGGTGATCTCTCGGAAAGTCTTGCTCGTGAACATCAAAAGATGATACAATCGGGCGAGCAAACTATGATGGTCTATCGTGGAGCGAAATTGTCGAATAGCGAACTCGATCAGTTCAAAACAAAGCAAGGTCAACTGATCTCGACCAATGGATTTTTGTCGACTAGTCGAAGCCGTTCTCGAGCACTGGCCTTCGCCATGAAATCTACGAACCGAAGCGATGCAGTGCCTATTCTCTTCAATATCAAATGTCATGTGCAACAGCTAGGCAATAGCGTCATTTTCGCTGACATTTCCCATCTGAGTGTATATCCCGAAGAAAAAGAAGTTCTGTTTGATTTGAGTGCAGCTTTTCAAGTTCAAAATGTGGAACATGATGGGAAAGTGTCGGTAATCAATATGACTGCAACGAATGAAGGACAAGTGGTTATCCAAGATTATCTCGAAGCGGCACGTCGTGAAACGAAAGAGCGAAGTGTTGGAATTATGTTTGGTAGGCTGATGTGCAACATGGGTCAATATGAAAAATCTCAACGATACTTTGAACAGCTGTTAATCAATTCGAAAGATGAAGATCCGGCATGGATCGAATTTAATATTGGTCGAGCACTTCACTTCAAAGGAGAATGGGAGAAAGCAAGAAAATACTATGATAATGCGTACCGGAGAATGATGAATGTTGATCCGCCTAGGGAAAAAGACTCGGCTAATGTACTCAACAATATTGGTGCTGTATTGAAAAATGAAGGAAAGTACGATGAAGCCCTTGATTTCTATCGACGAGCACTGACTATACGAGAGAAATATTATCCCAATGGTCATCTCGATACTTCTGTAAGCCTGAACAACATTGGTCGTTTGTTGGAAGTTCAAGGAAAGTACGATGAAGCACTTGATTTTTATCGACGGGCGCTGATTATACAAGAAAAATGCTGTTCCAATGGTCATCCAGATATTGCTTACAGCCTCAATAACATAGGTAATGTACTGGGCAATCAAGGAAAGTACGATAAAGCACTTGATTTCCATCGACGAGCACGAACCATTCAAGAGAAATATTTCCCTTCTGATCATCCCCATATCGCTACGAGTCTTTACAATATTGGTAGTGTG